GAGGGGGGGGGAGGGGGGAATAAAAATAAATTCAGGGACAAATTTACCATAATACGACTAGATTATATTTTATTAGTAAGTGGTTTTGTGTAGTAGGTATTTTGAGTGTTTTCTTAATTTCAGAGAAGAACTTTGAAAATTAATTTAAAAATAAAATTCCTCAGATTAGCCATGGAACTCCTTAACATCTCTGGCAAACCCTGCTTGGGTCAGGCAAGCTGCTTTGAAGTTTAACTTCTGTAAGCAAATAATTTAGGTACATTGGAAACGTTACAAAAAAAAATTGAGCAATCTGTGTTTTGGTTGTTGAATCTGAGTAATAGTTATTTTGGGGATTAAAAAGTTAAGAGTTCTGTGTGTACATACTTAAAAGCATGTGTTAAAAAGTTCTAGTAATTATGTATGTGAGTATATGAGTTGATAATTTTAGCTGTTTATTACTGTGAAGTTTATCAATGATTTCTGAAAGAATTTTGGTATAAGTTTGCTTCAGTGGGAAGTAAGTTGTTTCCAAATTACTTCCAGGCACTGGAGACCTTAAAAATGTTTGAAAAAAAGGATAGCAGAGTAAAGAGTGCAGCTGCAACAAACCTTTCATTCCTTTATTATTTGGTAAGTGTTTGGTTCAATAAAACTGGTTAAGAACTGCAGTTTATGTTGCAACTTCTGTATCTTTGTAGCAATTTTTGTCTGTCGCAATGATCTCTGTAAACAAGAAGAAATTGCACGTTAGAGGAGTTATTCTGGAACCCCCATTCATGGCTGTAGTTGACGTTTGGAGCATGGCCTTTGTAACCTGTTGCTGTGAGGAAGAGTGATACTGAGCCCCAGGCCTGCAGTGTCATCTGTGCAGAAGCTCAGCAGCTGCATTTAAAACTCAGGTCCTGAAGAGCCTGGCTGAACTTCAGGAACATGTGAAGTTTGTAGCTTAGGTGTGTTTGTGTAAGAAGTTTGTATGGTATGGGATTTATTTTTATTTTATAAAGAGATACTACTTTGTTGCAACAACTTCCAGACTGAATGGGACAGAGTGGCAAAACAGCTCTCAAGTGTTAAGTTCTCTGAAACTTGAAAGGGTTCATCTACTTTATGCAAATACATAAGGAATATTTTAGGACTGAAGAATGTATTATTTTTTTCACCCTCAATCTTTTGAAATTCCACTATGTTAACTGTAAGAAGCCGCAGCTACAAGAAAATCGACTGACAAATGCCTAATACAATGTTTGTTTTGTTCATGTAGGAGAATGAATTGGCACAAGCAACTTACTATGCAGATTTAGCTATAAATTCTGATAGGTACAATCCAGCAGCTCTAACTAACAAAGGAAATACTGTTTTTGCAAATGGAGACTATGAAAAAGCAGCTGAGTTCTATAAGGAAGCTCTCAGGAATGATTCCTCCTGCACTGAAGCACTTTATAATCTTGGTAAGCCAAAGGTGCTGTTGTTATTTAGCTTTAGTCTAAAGGTAACACTAGTGTTTCTGAGAATCTGGCTTTCAAAGTTTTCTTGTATAGAAATATATACTGATTATTATGACTTTATTCAGTAATTTGTTATAGCAAGGTATTAATTTGTACTTACCTATTCTGCAAAAAACCACCAGTGTTAGCAACTTCAGCTAGTAATTGTGGATGATTAAGTCACTTTGAAGATAAAAATTTCTACTATCTACTGAAAATATATCCCCTTATTAAAACATCAGAGTCACTCCACTTTAGAAACCCTCCCTTTCCCTCATTCATCTTATTCAAAAAGTGAGATTACATATGTTCTTGGTCTCTGATTAGGTTCGTGTTCCTTGTGTTTATCAGTTTGGTAAGTCGTATTAGCTGGTAAGAATTAAAAGCATGGATCTTGTGAGTAGAGTCTGTCAATGTCTAGGCAGTTATACTGCCTCTACCTACCATGTTCCTGTTTCATTTTTCTTGGTTATTCTGTCAGTTCATATGCTGAAGTCATCTTTTTCTCATTGCATTAATACTGTAACCTTTATTTTTTAGGCTTAACATACAAGAAGTTAAACAGAATAGATGAAGCTTTGAATTGTTTTCTGAAACTCCATGCAATCCTTCAAAATAGTGCCCAAGTCCTTCACCAGATAGTGAACATGTATCTTTTTTCTGGGTTATGATAAAGGATGCTGGTTTTAGTAAACTCATTTGAATCTGAAGTATGGGTTTCAATCATGACATGATGACTTAGAAATTTACTGTAGTGTTCATGATAATAAGGATGACCGTGTGTTGATAAATTCTTCGATGTCTGTGAAAATGAGAACAAAACTTACAACCTTCTTGGACATTTCCAGTGAAGCAAGTGAAGAGATACATTAAGACTGTTCACATTGCAGGGAATACACTTACACTCAGTAGTATAATTGTGTCCTGGAATATTTAAAATACTGCTGATTTTATTACGAAAATAATGTGGCAGATGTAAGCACAATTCAGTAAAACCTTTAAAAAAATATAATATAGTTAACGAAAATGAAGTTCTGTTCTGAAAGCTGTTTTCAGTTTAGTTAGTGTTTGTGTGAGAAAATAATTCTCTCCCAGCACTGCAAAAGCTCAACAGATCAAAAAGCTGAGGAGGGGAGGGGTTGGCTTTGCACATCACCAGTGATATTCTACACTATGAATTTCTTTAACATTGCTTTTGAGGATGTGCAAACCGTAATAAAATCCTCCCCAAGGCAGAACAGATTCCAGTTGCTGTACTTATACTTTCAAGACTAGTGAAGGTAATAAAAAAAATACATTTTAGTCAGTAAAATAAGTAACCTCCAAAAATACAGAAGGCCTGTGATCTCTATTCATTGCACAGCCCCTTTAGAAGAGCATAAATGGCCCTACAATTCCCAGGTCATCTCTGGGGGAGAATGTCTCTGCTCTAATACTATGTAAAAACTATTGTGCTTTTCACCAGTAATCCCAAGCTTTTTCCATGAAGGGTAGAGTGCAGCAGAAAATGGAAAAAAAAAAAACAAGAAGTGGAGAGCACACTCCAGGCCTAATTACAGCTAAAGCTGCCTCTGTTCTCTGGGCTAACACAGACATACGCTGTCTGTGCTCTGCTGCTTAGACATACAGCAGACCGTGTCACTGCAGGCAAAAGTCTGTTCTTGAGGATTGCAGTTTTACCTGATTCAGTGTAACAAAAATACTTTCCAATACAAATAAGATTATGACAACAATGTTTAAAAAAATTTTTTTTAAAAAGCCAATGTATCTCCACAGTACAGGGACTGCTGTATGTCCTGCATATGGATTACTTTATGTAAAGTAGTAGGAATTACGAGTAGATCAAAATATCATTGGCATCAGTCCTTGACTGAAGAAAACTCAGATATGAGATCATGGAAGATTCCAGTCAAGCCATAGAGTGGCTTCTGCAGTTGATCAGTGTAGTACCAACTGATCCTCATGTACTTTCCAAGCTAGGGAAATTATATGATAAGGAAGGTGATAAATCCCAAGCTTTTCATTATTTCTATGAGGTACTTGCTCTCTATTGCTTTTCCTATGCACTTTGTCATAATTAAAGAAAATTTTGCCATAGTTTCCTATATCAAATTAACAATTGATTCATTAAAACTTTAAAAAAATCATCCAAAAAATAAAAAATGAAGATATTTTGGGAGATAGAGAGTTTACAAAATAATTTTTGTAGTCAGATCCTAAGGAAACACAGCCTGTGTTTCCACATGGTATTTGACCTCAGACATTTTTCATATGGTCGTTGTTTACATTGACCCCTAACAATTTTAATTTAAAATACAGTCTGAGATGAAATAAATAGCTATAATAAATGTAGTTTTAAAGGTGTGTAACATCTCTCTGTTGAATTGGAAGCTATATCTGTATAATGGATATGGGGGGGATATATATATCTCTATATGATGTGTTTGTGTTTATGTATGTTAGTTTATATATATTTTTTAATGGCGTACTTGTACATTATGTATACCCAGCTGCCTAAAGATAGGCATCCTCTCTCATTTCAAACCAGCTATAGTACTGTCTGTGATTTGTAGAGATTATTCAGGTTTAGAAGCAGGAATAAGACAGAAGTTGCTTTGCTGCAATGTAAGGGTTCTTTTTATCTGTGTGAAGTGAGGCTGACCAAAGGCTATGTTGCAATCTGAATACTACTGGAGTTGTGCTTGATGATAGTTCTGCTGGCTATTTCAGTGGGAATGTCTAAAAAGCCGAAAAAGTTATTTCTATGCAATACATATGTACATAAGAGTGCTTTTAGCTGAGTTTTCCAGTCGACTGGCTTGACTGTGGAATTGTGCACGTATTTAATTAGCATTGTTTGACATTTTAGGTAACTTATTCTCATGTAGACATGATCTGAGTAAACATTTCTGCTGTTGAAAACTATTTAGAATAGTATTTCAAGTAAGGCTAGATGGAAAATGTGACAGACTCATCTCAGGTAACTTCTAAAAAGCATTCTGTAATTAGAAAACTTGGCATGCGCTTTTTTTCAGGATTACTTAGTACAGCACACTGCTCCCATTCATCTATTACATGTTTTTGGCATCTGGAGAATTAAACACTTGAGTAAGCTATTCCAGAAGTAACATAAAGATGTTGTTTATCACTAAAATTGTGTTTCTTTCACCTTTCCTATTTTGTCAGTCGTACAGGTATTTCCCTTCAAACATTGAGGTCATTGAATGGCTGGGCGCCTATTACATTGACACCCAGTTTTGTGAAAAAGCCATTGAGTACTTTGAAAGAGCAGCACTTATCCTGTGAGTAATTATAATTTTATGCCTACTCAATATTTTGTCATTAGACATCCATAAGTATACCTAGGGATAAATTTGTTGGATAATTTTGATACTAAAAGCAAATACCAGAATCAAGAATAGTTGGGATATTAATTAATTTTCTCAACTTTGTGTTCGTTTACAGTGCTTTTTTGCTCTTACTGTGTAATTTCAGTGTTAAGATCCTCCATTGGGCCCAAGATAGTATTTAGGTATTAGAACCTCTTTTATCTATCCTCTGCCATTAAACATAGCTATGAAGTAAGGAACAGCTCTCCTAAGCCACCAAAACCTCCTTCTCTATGGCTTTGTGAAATATTTCCTTTCTGTTATCTTATCAAGCAGTGAGGATTTGATGGTGTAGATAAATACAACTTTTAGCAGTTCTTGCTGCATTTCCACTTTTAACATAACTTCTGCTTCTATATAAAGGATATTACAAATAAGGTATAGAAGGAACCAGAAGTGTTCAGTGCAGAGTTACCACTCATCAGTGAAGAGAAGTTGACAGATGAAATCGATCCCAATAGGGACATTTGAAATATAGTGAGTTCAGTACAGTAACTGAATTGCTGAAATTGTCCTGTAGCAGAGTATGATGCACTTAAGAAAGTATATAGGCCATATATTTTTATTTGAGATCAGAAAGGGAGCTTACCAGAGAAATTATGAAAAAACAGAAATTTTAACAAATTTAGATCTGTAATCCAGAGTTCAACAGAATGTATACATTCAAAAAAACCCATGTATACAGTCTTTTTATTTGAAACAGGTATTTGTCTGTATGTTCATAAAGAATTTTGTGTTAATAGGCCAAATAAAATTCGTACAACTAAAATTCACACCAGCAAGTGTGAATTTCTCTATTTTGGGCTTTGGGAAACATGAAAAATCAGACGAAGCAAAACTCAGTTATTGCTTGTCTTGTGATGATGTAAAATTTAACATTCTTTTTGTTCTGTGAATGTGAGTGACGTGCATGAACAAGACAGCATGTCCACAAAAATTTATACAATATTATTCAAAGTAAGTTTGTATTACAAATACATTGTTAGTTCAGTTAAGAAAATGCTAATTCTAGTTTAGAAAGCGCTTGAGTTAGAGTAAACTTTTATAGAGGAGAAAATCCGGGATTTAAATGAAGATTAAAAATGGAAGCAAAAATAAATAGAAAAACATAGACTTCACCAAAATTATGGTATAATTGTAAAGAAATAGACATGTAGATAAGATGAAAATACACAGGAGACAGTTCACAGAAATCAGCTTGCAGGTTTGCCAGTATTCATTTCAGTATAAATGCTGGCCTTTTAAAAAAAGGGTATTTTAGTCATGCTATGAGATCACATACACTGGCATTCACATCCTTCTTTGAAACTTTGGCAAGAAACAGCTGAAACTAAGAAGAATTATTTCATAATCTTGTTCTGGCAGAGATCTAAATATTTTAGACTTTGTTTTGCACTCAGTCCATGCATGAAACATGAAGTATGTGGATTGTAAAGTACTTGCGAATAATTGGCATAAGAAATTCTTCATGATTGTTTGCAATTGTAATCCCTCTATCAGTAATACAGAGAAATTATTTCTCTGTGGCATGAGATTGTTAATTGTAGATAACAGAACATAGATGTTTCAGTGTTTACTTGGTGTTAAAAACAGTCTAAATGGGCTAATTGATGAAGATGAATGTTGTGTTATAAATTGCTAGTAATGGTAAATAAAGTTACATTTTAAAACTATAACTTTATTTTTAACAGTGACCAGCATTTTTTAGTTTAACATTTAGTGTAGCCAATGTTTTGATCACAATAATTACAGTTTAAATCGCATTCTGAGATAGCGTTAGGCAATATGAAACGAAAACAGATTTTGATTATTGTACACTTTACCAGCATGCATATTTGTAAAAGGAGTTGTGCAGCTAATGCTGGCTGCTGACAGTTCAGTCTCTAGCATTTTCATACTGAACTGCATAATAAACTTTATTATGGTATCTGCTTGGCTGCCTTTATTGTTTACAGGAGACGTATTCAGCTGAAACTAAAAAAGGTGAAGCAGCTGTCTTTCATAAAGCTTGTTTGACAACTACCAGGCAAACAGATTATTTAGAGTTAAAAATGGCCTGTGCTGTGACTGGAGGGAAAGACTGAAGAGACTGAGTACAAAACTGTTCTGAAAATGTTAGTGTACAGTGCCTCTGGGACATGCTCCTGTTGTATAATGTAAGCCACATGTGAAAAGTGCTTTTGGCTTATAGAGCATCCTAACACTGTTGACATGAAAATGTCCTAATTTCCACATTTTCTTGATAAGAATGAGAAAAGACTTCAACGGTTTTGTTGTACATGCTCATACATCTCAAATATTTTCTCTGGCCATATCTATCACCGTGATGTGCTAAAAAGAGGACAGGTAGCAGCTGGGGCACCAAGGAAATGACGCAGAGAAGCCAGAGTTGGAAGCTGTAAGCGGGGTGTGCTTCCTGTCAGGGATCCCTTGGCCATGCTTGGGCCCCTACTGCTGGGACTTCCTCAGAATACAGTTCAGCATTTTGTTCTCCCTCATTTTGTGGTTCTCTACCTCAGGCAAAGATTAGTGGTTCACGTCTCAGAGTCACCAATTGTGCCTGGTGCACAATCATGAGCAGGAAAAAGGCATAGGACGACAAATGAGGGACACCAAGGCCTGAACAAAGGAGCATGACGCAGGGATAAACTCTGCGTGAACTGAGCAGGCTCAATTCTTCCTAGGAAGGCAGAGTATGCTACGTGAAAAATCATAGGAGTTGTTTAATAGTTGGTCTTTACCAATGCTGTGCAGAGTATTTTGCTGCTTCATTGTTTGGCAGTGTGCATAATTTTGGTTTATTTACATGCAGACCGACGCAGGTGAATTGGCAGCTGATGGTTGCCAGTTGCTACAGGAGAAGTGGTAGGTTCTGTAACTTTTTTGTATTTGGTTGGAGTTTTGTAGCATTTTTTTGTATTTAGTTGGGGTTGTTCAGCCTGGAGAAGAGAAGCCCCAAGAAGGTAGTGTATAGGAAAGATGGAGGCTTTTTCCAGGGCCTGTAGTGACAGGATAAGGGGCAATGGTTTTGAACTGAAAGGGGAATAGACTTAGATTGGCTATAAGGAAGAAATTTTTTATCATGAAGGTGGTGAAACACTGGAACAGGTTGCTCAGAGAAGTTGTGGATGCCCCCTCCCTGGCAGTGCCCAAGGCCAGGTTGGATGGGGCTTTGAGCAGCCTGGGCTGGTGGGAGGTGCCCCTGCCCATGGCAGGGGTTGGACTGGATGAGCTTTGAGGTCCATTCCAACCCAAACCATTCTGGGATTCTATGATTTGTTTTGTTTTGATTGATTTTTATTTTTTTTCCTTTTGATCTTTTCTGCCTGATGTGAATATTGGTCCTAAAGTTTGTTTGAAAATTCAGTTACATACTATTTTATTATGAATTTTCTGTGCATGTGTAATAAAACATGACTTCTAGATCCAGGAAGTGTGCCTGCACTGACTCATGCATGAAACCTCCTTTAATAGTGCTGTTAAATAAGTAAAATAAAGCAGATAATACAGTATAAATGATCTGATATAATGTTTTTTTAGTGTAATTATACCACCATCTGATCTATCATAAGTGATTAGATTTTAGTTTCTTAATTCCCATTCCTTTTCAGCAGCAGGTATAATTTTTTTGTATTAACATAGTTTTTGCATTACACAAACAAAAGTCAGTCTTAATGTGCTGTATTATCTTACAGGGAATATAATACACCAATAAGCAAAATGCAGAGAAACTGATCTTTCTGGTTTTTTTCCTTCAACTAAAATGCATTCAAGACACTTAATGATGTAAATGATACTCTTCTTTCTTGCTGTCCCATTTTGTCACTCTTCTTTTAAGCTTCTTTAGGACTTTGAAGAACAGACTTTCATAATAAGTATGTGCATTTTCTCAATCCACTCAGTTATTTTAATACAACAGTGAGAAAAGGAACAGGACCTAGGGAAGTCGGTGAATTAAGAACAGTCACCACCACCCACCCAGAACTAGACAGATTAACTGTTTTCCCGGCAAAGAAACACAAAGGGTTTGGCTGCTTTTTAGGTCATTTATGATTCATTGGCAAAAGTCCCAGCTTATCATGTTAACTCATAACAGGTCAGTTTGATCTCTCCCTCACACTAGGAAAATAAAAATAGTGATATCTCAAACTTTTTTGTCAGATACTTTATGGATATGAGGTTTTAGATTCAAAGGATCTATCAGTCCTTTCCATAATAATCAAGCTGAGTCAAAATTGAAAGCAAAAGTCTTAAAGAATAATTACTTTGGTTCCAGATCCAGGCGCACAAGAGAGAGAGGCACACAGTATCTGTTCTAAGGGAAGGAAGGACAGGCAGAGCTTGGCTGTTAAACATTTCTATTGGACCAATCCATACATCTGCAGTCTTAGATAAGCCCTGATATGCTTGATACAGCTTGTCCAGTAGATGTCATAGAACACTGGGGTCCTGGAGACAGGTCAGAAAAAGGCAAAAATCAGGAAACTCCTCTTCATTAGTTCTGTTATTTACAGAGTGATTTGGACTGTTTTCAGGGGCTCTTCATTTTTAATATCAGTAATTGGAGAATGTTAAGTTTGGTTTTATCAAATTTGCTCTTATAACATTAAATCATGTACTCAAGCTAAAATGATGAGATGATGTTAAACTGTATCAATTGCTTATCAGATATTCTTGTTTATGTTTGGGTACGTGGATTGTTTTCTTTGCAGGTAACTACCAGAAAGCTCTAGAGAAATACAAAGTCATTCATAGAAAATTCCCAGAGAATGTTGAATGTAAGTCATTTCATTGAGTGGTACAACTATCAAAGGAAACTTTGTTACATTGAATATGTGTGTTAGTAATCATATGATGTAAGTATTTTTCATAAGAAAATATTTTCATGAACTCACATTTTTATTCATTCTAATGTTGCATGTTTTCTGTGACAACACTGAAGTATCATTTAAGAGATATTGGGGTAATGCAAAAGAAGAGAAATGAAACTGAACTTTGATCAAGTTACTTCTCATACATACTTCCTAAACTTTATAACTATGTTACTTAATCTTTCTTATCATAAAGATATAGGTATTTTTCCTTCAGTCCCTGCTAGTTGAAACGCCTGCTGGAAGTTTCTAGATACGAGAAAATCTTCTTGTTAAGTTTTACCAAAGCCAGGTCTTCCAAAAGAATGCAGAGGATCAGATTCTGTTGTTGGGGTTTTAAGTATAGTCTCTGGAAAGTCCATAGAGAATTTCAAACTAAACTATGGAAAATCTAACTTTGAAGAGTAAGACATTTGGCAGAATCAATTGCACCTGTGCTCTATCTAAATAAAAAAAGCACTGTAGAAAATAGGGATTGTCACTGGTTGTGAAAATGTCCTCTTATATCCCACACTGTGCCTCACTAACTCCAAAATACAAGGTTATTGCCAGCAAGCCTGTGCTTTTAAATGCTATGTGGAAAGAATATTCACTGTATTTCATAATTAAATTAAAATGTTATTGGTCTGCTTTAACAAACATACTGCTTTTTTAAAGAGGAGTCTTACAGCTCTGTCATACAAGAAAAATTCAATACTATGACTTCTCAAACTTATAAGCAAAATGTCATGTTCACATTGGTCACGTATTTCAGAAGGGTAATTAGTAAACCTTTTAGAATGCTAATATTTTTCTGAATGTAGTTTCTACAAATTACAAATGGAGGCAGGAGTTAGACAAGACAATTTAACTGATTTTAAAGTTTTCTGCTGCTGAAACAATGATTCTTCCACCTATGTAAATGGTATTTGCACTGTTCATGGATTTAGACACTGCACCACAGAAAATGTTGAATAATTTGCAAAATACCACAACTTGGATTGTGATATTGGACTAGAGTCACCTTGTATTCACAGTTATTTGCATTGTTTGTCATTCTGTATGTTCCGTTCTCTTAGGGTGCACTTGTAGTTTGACCTGCTTGTAAGTGTTTTTTTTAACAATGTCTTGCTTTTCAATTAGGTCTTCGATTTTTAGTTCGTCTCTGCACAGACATGGGGCTGAAAGAAGTCCAGGAATATATGACAAAGCTCAAAAAAGTGGAAAAATTAAAAGAAATAAGGGAGCAGGTAAGCTTGTTTCTTTCTGTGATTATACAGTATCACTACATACACAGATGAAGCTAAAAGTGTTTATGATACTTCAAGATAAAATGTGTCTTAACTTCCTCAGTGGATTTTTTGTTTTAAGTTTTAAATTACTGATTAACCGTATATCTGTCTGAATGTTTTTTGAGCACCAGATTTTATGTGGTTTTAAATACTGGTGAAAGACGAGTTATGTGGATGTGATGGGAATGCTGGAGCCACCCACACAATTCAATGTCTCTGGAATGTCGTCTTTCCTACTTATTTGCCAGAATGTATAAAGTGTATTTGTGAGTCAAGTAATAGTGCAACTATAAGGAGAGAATCACAGAACCACAAAATGCATCAGGTTTGAAGGGACCTTTAAAGATCATCTGGTCCAGCCCCCTGCAGTGAGCAGGGACAATGTCACCAGATCAGGTTGCTCAGAGCCCCATCAAGCCTGACCTTGGATATCTCCAGGAATGGGGCCTCCACCACCTCTCTGGGGAACCTGTGCCACTGATCTACCACCCTCATGGTGAAGAACTTTTTCCTAATGTCTAATCTAAATCTACCCTGCTCTATTGCCCCTTGTCCTATTGCTATCTGCCCTTGTAAACAGTCCTTCCCCAGCTTTCTTGTAAGCCCCCTCCAGGAACTGGAAGACTGCTATAATGTCTCCCTGGAGCCTTCTCTTCTCCAAGCTGAACAGCCCAAACTCTCTCAGCCTGATCTCATAGGAGAGGTGCTCCAGCTCTCCGATCTATTTCATGGTTCTCCTCTGGACCTGCTCTAACAAGCCCATGTTTTTCTTGTACTGGGGATGCGAGCTCTGGATACAGTACTCCAGGTGGGGTCTCATTACAGCAGAGTAGAGGGGAAGAAAATAAGGTATCTATGATGATGCTTCTAATTAGTCAAAGCTTTAAGGCAGATCTGCCTGTTTTCCTATAGCATGCTGCCCAGAAAACAGCCTTGCAAATTCAAATAAGCCTGATTCTATTGTAATTTAAGCTAAACCAATTTTATTTGAAACAGAGAAAACAGAAATGCACTAGCTTTAAAAAAACAAACAAACCCAAAACAAAACAAATTAATACCCTCACCCCCTGCTCTGCCCCCTCAAAACCAACACCAGAAATAAAACACTTTTGAAGTCAGCTCCGTCAACTTCATCCCTGCAGGTAGGCCCATGCTTCCAGCCTGAGAAAGCTCGGTGAGTTTCTGAATGGCAGCAAAATTCTGCTCCTGCAGTTCCTAGTTTATGTTCTTCAGATCCTCTGAAGCCTGCTCAGTTCCCTTCTGCTCCATTCTCCAGCTCCTTCTTGTGGGGATGTGCTCCCATCTCTCTTCTGGCTCTCTTGTCTGCCACACACTGAAATCTGCCAGGTTTGGTGTCTCCTCAAGGAAAGGAGCAACTTTTTCTGTCCTCCAAGGAACCCACTGACCCAGTTTTCTTAAAAAATCAACATCATTATAGATGTAAAGGAACAAAGTCTCTAAGAAAAGAAAGATGTTATGGAACACAGAGTGATTTAGTCTGCTGCTGTCCTGCATTAGAAGTTGAGTACATTTCTGTGACAGAATCTGAATATCAGTGCTGTCTTGCAAACAATAGCCCTGCAGTTCTTTTTGCTATTGGTGCTACATCTGGGTTCCCATCCCCTGGATTTGGGGATTTTTATTTTATTTTCGTGGGTGGTTTGTGTGTGGGTGGTTTTTTTGTCTTATGTCTACCATCTGGCTTTGGAAATTACTAGGTGTTTTTGTCCTAAGAAATTCCTTCTGTCATCCATGAGCATACAGTCATAAACTGTGCTTTCAAGTTCTGAAATTATAAAATCTTAATATTTCACCACCTAAGTTTCCAATAGGAACTGGTTTCAGTTAGCAATACCACATACAGTTCAGTTCCTGCTCCCAATTTCAGACTAACCTGTGATTTCTCGATTGCACCCAGTAAAGAGAAAATAAACAAATGCTAGTGTTAATATACCTACATTTAAAAGTCTGCACACGGACTTTGTCTTCCTGTAGAAATTTATCTAAATTTGCTATTCTGGTATTGTTTTTTATCCAGAATAAGTCTATCCACATACAGTTTATACCAAAATAAATATTCTGAAGTGCTTATTTCAGTCAGTTTTCAAATATGGACAAGTTGTTAAATACTTCCATCCAAGAATCTGGGAACATCTGTGGGGTTCATTCCCTGTAGAAATTTTTCTCTCTGCCTCTCACAGCTTTGGGTTTTTTGTGCACTGTAACCCTCATATGTTGTTTTTTTTGGGTTTTTTTGTGTTTTTTTTTTTTACTGCATAATATTCCTTTTTCATGTTTCAGACAGGTAATGGTGTAAAAGTTCACACAGCCTTCTTGGCACTGATGTATAAATGTATTGCTATTTATTTCTGTTAAGTGAGCTTAATGACCGAAAATGAGGGACTGATGGGGTGCAGTGTGAAGCAGTGATGATAAGTGCAAACAATGGGGGGGACTGACTGCCTTTACCTCCAGGCATCTGCAGCTGGAGTAACCATCCTAAATGGCTTTTGCAGTCATGGGAGAGAAATAGGCATTTTTAGGGTGGAAATCATTGGACCTATTTGAAACGTCTGCTTTTAGTATGGGATGACTTATAAACTACTCACTTGGAACTGTACATAAATCAGTCATATGCTTAAGCTGTAGTGCTTCTGTAATATTTTGGTAGTAAAGTCCTAGAATGTAAATGCCATGAGGGCATTGTCATACAGGGACCACTTCCCTCTGGCAGACAGGAGCTGAGCTTGCACTGACAGACTTGTCAGTCATTCAACATTTGGAGAGTCTGAACATGTGTCCTGAAGGACTGATATATGCTACTTGACTGGACTGAGTCGGATATTTAATCCAAAATTCAGAGAACATATCTTAGACTTGAAGATTTCCCAAAATAAAGAAAAAGTATGAGAAATTCTGGTCCCAGAATTTGGATCGTTCCAAGACCATTCCTGGTCTCACGCTAGGCTCGCTGCTTTCCTGTCTGACTCTTGTGAGTTTTGATTTAAGGGTTGTTCCTTTTTCTGTTGGCATGAATCTTGAAAGTTCTTTCATATCTTCTGTGTCATTCCAACTTTGCCAGACTCCATGATATTTTTCTGGTGAAAAATGAGTGAAGAAGCTACAGTAATTGACCTGTATATGTGGTTAGGTAGTGTGCACGTGTTTTAATCGGATCCTGAATTCATATTTTGAAATAAGATGCAGCGATTACTTTAGTAACAGCTGAGTGCTTTTAAACATCACATTTTTGTTCGTACTTATCAAAAAGTCCCTCCCTGAGATGTACCTTCTTGTAACTGATCAGATATATGCCTGAGAAATTTGGTGTTTTGCCAGGAGAAGCCAAGGCTGCCATGTGATCCAGAGGTATTGCTTTGATACACTGTTAAAGTTTTCAAATAACACTAAAGAAAACACAGCTGGAAGATGTTTATGGTACCTTCCTCAGTGAAAGAGACCTTACTTTTTAAACACAGCTTTCAAAGTATTTACCTTCACCTTTATCTTGCATTTAACACTCAACAGCAAATTAAATTTTGCTGTGAAGTACAGTGCTGTGCCAAGTATTCAAATTTTGAGACCTATGAGGTGAACAGTTCATTTTATAGATTTCCCTATTTCCCCCCCTTGAATCTTTACAATAATAAAACACTTGTGGGATTTACAAGAAGTTAATAGGCAGAGGCTACTTTGAACTCGTGCAGGGAAGGCTATGTTGCCTGTTTTTTCAGCTGGACTTTACAAAGGTACATCTGAACTATTTTTATGTACATTCCTTGTATAAACTTTATCTGAAGAAAAATAATTTGTTGAGGTATTCTGTTTGAATTTCATAGAACTCTTGTTTTATGTAAACATTGAATTTAACACTGATTTTTAAGGACAATTTTGTGCATTGAAGAAACAAGGTTCATTAGCTACAGTATAGTAAGCCTATAAGTTTCATGTTCTTCTACTGTTTTATTAATAAGCCAAGTGGAGTTTTCAGTAATTATATGTAATGTACATTACTAAATGGGGTTCTTGTTCTTTTCAAACCTTTTTCACTGTTCTCCAGCGCATTAAATCTGGCAGAGATGGCAGTGCACGTGGCCGCAGAGAAGGTAGTGCTGGTGTTGGTAAGTACTTAATACCTCTGCTTCAGTATCAGATTTGTCAGGATCCTAAAGAAAATAGTTTTTCTTAGTGTTTGTAAAACCTCCTTACATTCTGAAATGCACACAAATATGCGTTGAATAACATGCAAGTACTTCACAAATTTTTTTCATACTTTTTTATTATCTCACTGCTGTTTGAAACCTCAGCCAGTATAGTAGCCTGGATTTTGTCTAAGATTTGTGCTTTATAGACAGATCTTGGTGTATTCCTAAAACTAAATTTCTCCTAGTTCAAGTCTACAGCATTGAAACTATTTTTGTCCCATTAACTTGGAACGTGAACATTTTTGTCCCATTAACTTCGGAATATTTGCTGTAAGGAATCATTCATTATAACAAAACAGAACATGTAAGCCATGAAAAACGGGAATTGTGTCTTTATTTAACACAGAGAAAAGGGAATTTTGTGCCCACCACCTAGTCTATTACATTAGATGCTTGTTACAAGTTCAGGAGGCTATTTTATGTAACCAATTCTGTAACAAGAAGACAACCATACTGTCTTTGAGCTCCTTCTTCCCCTTTTCCCAGTATAGCAGAGTTGAAGGACTGGAGTCTTCCATAGAGGAGAACTTGCTCTCTGCCTACTGAATCTCTCTGCTCCTTTAGATTTACAATGCTGACTTTCATAAATGTGAAACTCTATTAATGTAAGTCTGGAAACTGGCCTGCTTTGTCTTTTCTGCACTGAGTAGTCTGCATATTGCAGAACTAATGAATTTTCCCTCCCATTATTAAATCCATGAAATGTTAGTAATGTTAAACCTCACTGTTCCCTGCTGCTGCTCTAAGGAAACCAGCAGACTCCAGGCTACTTCAGTCACATGGAGAAAAAATAAAAATTAAAAATCCCTATTCTGACCCAAAAAGGAAATGGTTTCTTTGTATTCTGCTTTTGGTTTATCTTGGTATCAGTGGGTCTCATAAAAAGATATCCCCTGCAAATTCTTGTTTCTCTTCCCTTCCTTTTACAGAGAAGTAATTTATGAAGTTTTATTTTATTATTTGCTAATTGTATTTCTCCACCTATATACCAGATACTTTACTTCATTTATCCAATTCTGTAGGGTTATGAAAAGTCATGGAAATTCCTTGTGTAATGTTAAGATGACCTTAGATTGCTGTTACATTTTATGAAGAGTGCTCTCCTGGGTTCTCCGAGAGTTAGGAATGAGTGTTGGATGCTTAAGAGAGATCGCATTCCTTTTTCAGCTCAGTAGTTTCACTGGAGAAGCTTTAAATCATTTATTGTTATGTAGAAAAAAAACCACCATTCACCTAGGACTGAATTTTACCTGTTCTGGGCCTCAGGCCAAAGTAATTCTTGGGGTGAAATTCCTCATTTTGGTAACAGAGAGGGATGGAAACGTTTCTGGACTCTCCTTTGTTACACAAGCCCTATGATGAGGCAGCCAGCGAGGGGTGCCAGCAACAGAGCAGCATGAGACAGCATCGGTCCCTGTTTGCTGTCATAAAGTGGAGATCCACTCTGGCTTATAATAAATAGAAATGAAGAGCAGCATTGGTAGCAGGCAAAGGTATTTACTTCTGTGCAAAACATTGCATCGGGCATATAGGCAAATGGCGCAAAGGGTCGCTTTTCTCACAGCTATATCTTGTAATTATCTCTGCCTTCATTAGTGAAAAGAGATGTTATTAGGAGAGAGTCAGTCAGTAATTTAGCAAAAGAGGATATAAATAACAGTCAAGCTGGAAAGGTGCTAAGACAACACTAATTCCCCAAAGTACCAGTTTGTCAATACTTTTCTTAAAGACTATGGAAAGTTGTCTTTTTAAAAAAATTAAAGAAAAAATAATCCCCTCCCTTCCAGAGCTGAACACCTGAGGAACTTTGACTGCAAGCTCTAATAATTCCAAGGCATTACTCTTTCC